TTAGTCGTTTTTTCAGCCTGAAATAGACCGACCGCACAGCCCAAATCTATGGAACTGTTTTAGGCATGAAAATGTGCTTGCGGTCGGTCAAAAATGGACCTCCAGCTAACCTTTTAACCCCTGGATGTAATTGGCTGAATTTTGGATATGTTTATAATTAAAGTGTGCTGAGTTCAAATATGTAATTTATGTTTGTAGCATGTATATATTTGAAGTTATTAATATTTTGTAAAAACTGTATTTCACTGCCTGTGATAATTATATTAACCATTGTGTTCAGTAATCATATCACAGGCAGAGGGGAGGATTTTGTGTGGGAGTGTCTGTGTGTATTGGACGGATTGATTGGTTGTATTTCAAAACCCTGTGGGCAGTACTATGTTTGTGGATTGTGAATAAAAGAGGCTGTATGTGCCAGTACAGACAGTTCTACTTCACCCTCAATTTGGAGTGCCGTGCCTTATTGGGGGAATCTGCTACAAGGGATTGCTATGCTTGTCACACTCCCTTGCTAAATCACTACTAAGCTCTTCTAAGAGCTTGTTCCTGACTTGCTCTCTGGAGGAGTCTACGGTGGTTATGCTGTCGGCTGGAGTGCTTGGAGACCTCAGGAAGTGCTAGGAGCATCCTTCAATGTAGGTACCCAGTCGGGGTGCCCGACAAATCCATTACAACTAGGAACAGGAAGTGATTGCAACAAACCACAAGGAAGCTTATGAGGGACCTTAGAAACAGCACAAACTGAACAAGCCTGTACATACAGGTAATACTCGAAAAATTAGAATATCGTGCAAAAGTTCATTTATTTCAGTAATGCAACGTAAAAGGTGAAACTAATATATGCGATAGACGCATTACATGCAAAGCAAGATAGTTCAAGCCGTGATTTGTCATAAGTGCGATGATTATGGTTTACAGCTCATGAAAACCCCAAATCCACAATCTCAGTAAATTAGAATATTGTGAAAAGGTGCAATATTCTAGGCTCACAGTGTCCCACTCTAATCAGCTAAGTAAGCCATAATACCTGCAAAGGGTTTCTGAGCCTTTATATGGTCTCTCAGTCTGGTTCAGTAGGCATCACAATCATGGGGAAGATTGCTGACCTGACAGTTGTGCAGAAAACCATCATTGACACACTCCATAAGGAGGGAAAGCCTCAAAAGGTAATTGCGAAGGAAGTTGGATGTTCCCAAAGTGCTGTATCAAAGCACATTAATAGAGAGTTATGTGGGAAAAGTGTGGAAGAAAAAGGTGCACAAGCAACAGGGATGACCGCAGCCTGTAGAGGATTGTCAGGAAAAGGACATTCAAAAGTGTTGGGGACTTTCACAAGGAGTGGACTGAGGCTGGAGTCAGTGCATCAAGAGCCACCACACACAGACGGATCCTGGACATGGGCTTCAGATGTCGTATTCCTCTTGTCAAGCCGCTCCTGAACAACAAACAACGTCAGAAGCGTCTTACCTGGGCTAAAGAAAAACAGACCTGGTCTGTTGCTCAGTGGTCCAAAGTCCTCTTTTCTGATGAGAGCAACTTTTGCATCTCATTTGGAAACCAAGGACCCAGAGTCTGGGAGAGAATGGAGAGGCACACACTGCAAGATGCTTGAAGTCCAGTGTGAAGTTTCCACAGTCTGTGTTGATTTGGGGAGCCATGTCATCTGCTGGTGTTGGTCCACTGTACTTCATTTAGTCCAGGGTCAACACAGCCATCTACCAGGAGATTTTGGAGCACTTCATGCTTCCTTCCGCAGACAAGCTTTATGGGGTTGCTGACTTCATTTTCCAGCAGGGCACCTGCCCACTGCCAAAAGCACCAAAGCCTGGTTAAAGGACCACTATAGTGCCAGGAAAACATACTCGTTTTCCTGGCACTATAGTGCCCTGAGGGTGCCCCCACCCTCAGGGACCCCCTCCCGCCCGGCTCTGGAAGGGGGAAAGGGGTTTAAACTTACCTTTTTCCAGCGCTGGGCGGGGAGCTCTCTGCCTCCTCTCCTCCTCCGTTACGCCCCGCCGGCTGAATGCCGGCTGGCAAGAGCTGCGCGCGCATTCAGCCGGTCTCATAGGAAAGCATTTACAATGTTTCCTATGGACGCTTGCGTGCTCTCACTGTAAAAATCACAGTGAGAAGCACGCAAGCGCCTCTAGTGGCTGTCAATGAGACAGCCACTAGAGGGAATAGGGGGAAGGCTTAACCCATTGATAAACATAGCAGTTTCTCTGAAACTGCTATGTTTATTAAAAAATGGGTTAACCCTAGCTGGACCAGGCACCCAGACCACTTCATTAAGCTGAAGTGGTCTGGGTGCCAAGAGTGGTCCTTTAAATGACCGTGGGTTTACTGTGCTTGATTGGCCAGCAAACTCGCCTGACCTGAACCCCATAGAGAATCTATGGGGCATTGCCAAAAGAAAGATGAGAGACATGAGACTGAACAATGCAGAAGAGCTGAAGGCCGCTATTGAAGCATCCTGGTCTTCCATAACACCTCAGCAGTGCCACAGGCTGATAGCTTCCATGCCACGCCACATTGAGGTAGTAATTGCTGCAAAAGGGGCCCAAACCAAGTACTGATTCCATATGCATGCTTATACTTTTCAGAGGTCCGATATTGTTTTATGTACACTCCTTGTTTTATTGATTGCATGTAATATTCTAATTTACTGAGATTGTGGATTTGGGGTTTTCATGAGCTGTAAGCCATAATCATCACACTTATGACAAATCACAGCTTGAACTATCTTGCTTTGCATGTAATGCATCTATCTCCTATATTAGTTTCCCCTTTTACGTTGCATTACTGAAATAAATGAACTTTTGCACGATATTCAAATTTTTCGAGTATCACCTGTAGTCCTTCACATCGTTTTTTTAAGGGAATCCCACCAAAATTATCTCATGATCGCAGATATGGATTTGATACCTGGGTGTCCAGCAGTCACATTGTCGTGGAACACCCTCAGCACATTCTTTCTTTCACCTAATGGAACAAACAATTTGTCCAGTGGTTTATTGCATGGTGCCTGAGACTGAGCCTCAATTATAGCACCAAGCAAGGGAGAAGACAGTGAAAGAACAGTAGAAGCATTGATACATTCAGGAGGCACGATAGGGGATGTCTCATGTTCCTGTAAAGACTCAGTATCAAACTGCCTAGACAAGGCATCAGCCTTCACATTTTTGGGACCAGGTCTGTAAGTTATAAGGAAGTTAAAGCGAGACAGAAACAAAGACCATCTAGCCTGTCTAGAAGATAGACGTTTAGCATCCCCTATATAAGCCAAATTCTTATGGTCCGTAATGATCAAAAGGGGATCCTTGGAACCTTCCAAAAGATGTCGCCTCTCTTTAGGCGCTAGGACAATGGCCAACAATTCTCTGTTGCCAATATCATAATTGCGCTCAGTGGGAGACAACTTTCTGGAAAAGTAACCACAAGGATGCAAAGGGGTGTCCTGACTCTCCCATTGGGAAAGAACCACCTCAACCCTAGTTTTGGAGGCATCGACTTCCAATATGAAGGGTTTGCTCGTGTCAGGGTGTCTCAGTATGTCGGCAGAAGCAAACCTTTTGTTTAAGAAGTTCAAGTTAAGGTTCTTAGGTGCGGTAGTTTTCCGGACGTATGGGACAAGTACTACTCATATGTCCTTTTTTACCTCAGTATATGCATAGACCCTCTCTTCTCCTATGTTGTCTTTCTGCCTCGGACAGTCTAGTGACCCCCAGCTGCATAGGTTCGGGTTCGAACTGTATAGAGAGGTCAGGAACCGGTCGGGGGAAATGAGGTGCTAATGGCAAAGCCATATGTCTGGTTTTATGTCTGGTTCTGAGTCTATTATCAATTAGCATAATAAACATAATAAACTCATTGAGTTTTTTGGGTAGTTCTTTGGCAGCAATCTCATCTAACATAGTCTCAGATAATCCCTTCTTAATTGCTGAGATTAATCCGCTGTTAGTCCAGTCTACCTCGGAAGCCAAGGTGCGAAATTCTATGGCATACTCCGAGATAGACCGGTTCCCTTGTCTAATATGCATTAGGGCAGTGGAGGCGTCATCCTCCACCGAATGGATCAAACATAAGTTTAAATTCCACAAGGAATTCCTGGTAATTGTGTGCAATGCTCCTACTACTCTCCCATAACGTATTGGCCCAAGCTAAAGCTTTACCTTTAAGTTGGTTCATCAAGTAATCAATTTTAGCTCTGTCAGAGGGAAAAGATCCCGGTGAGGCCTCAAAATGATACTCAATTTGGTTAATGAATCCCCGGCATTCTTGAATATTACCATCGAAATGCAAGGGAGGAGATGGGGAGATAGTAGGTATCTTATGTACTACAGGAGGTACATTAGGCGGAGGTGACACAGTTGGAGAAGCCGCAGGTTTCAGATGCGCTGTTCGAGTAAGGAGCGTACTGAAAGCCTGGGCAAACTGATCCATACGGTGATCATTCTCCACTAGCTTTCTCTCGCAAGCAGCTATGTGCTGACACAATTTTACAGGATCTATGGCCATGTCATAATGTCAGGATTACTAGTTGATCCAGCATGTAGAATTATGTCACACAGATGACCAGGGCCGGACTGGGGATACAAAGCAGCCCTGGAAAATAATTTTTGCCAGCCCCATAAGTCACTGTGCCATATATTGTCGCGTGTAATATGTAAGGCTATGTTACATAGTTACATAGTTACATAGCTGAAAAGAGACTTGCGTCCATCAAGTTCAGCCTTCCTCACAAATGTTGTTGCTGTTGATCCAAGAGAAGGCAAAAAACCTGGTCTGAAGCACTTCCAATTTTGCCACAAACTAGGAAAAAATTCCTTCTTGACCCCAAAATAGCAGTCAGATGTCTCCTTGGATCAAGCAGCTATTACCCCACTAATAAGAAATTATATCCCTGTATGTTATGTTTTTGTAAGTATTTATCCAATTTCGGTTTAAACCTCTGTATGGACTCTGACAAAACCACCTCTTCAGGCAGAGAATTCCATATCCTTATTGTTCTTACTGTAAAAAAACCTTTTCTTTGCCTTAGATGAAATCTCCTTTCTTCCAGCCTAAATGTGTGACCTCGTGTCCTATGTATAACCCTGTTTATGAATAGATTTCCAGATAAAGGTTTGTACTGGCCCCGAATATATTTGTATAAAGTTATCATATCCCCTCTCAGGCGCCGTTTTTCCAAACTAAACAGATTTAATTTTTTAACCTTTCTTCATAACTAAAATGCTCCATTCCTTTTATCAATTTTGTAGCTCGTCTCTGGACCCTCTCCAGTGCCATGATATCCTTCTTTAGAACAGGCGCCCAAAATTGCACAGCATATTCAAGGTGTGGTCTATAAAGAGGCAAAATTATATTTTCATCCCGAGAATTTATGCCCCTATTTATACATGACAAAATCTTACTGGCCTTAGCAACTGCAGATTGACATTGCATATTGCTGCCTAATTTGTTGTCTATAACAATTCCCAAATCCTTCTCGTGTGTGGTTATCCCTAATTCACTACCATTTAGTGTGTAAGTTGCTTGTGCATTCTTAACCCCGAAGTGCATAACTTTGCATTTCTCTATGTTAAATTTCATCTGCCATTTTAGTGCCCAGTCCCCCAATCTATCCAAATCTCTCTGCAGCAAAGCAATATCCTGCTCACATTTTATTACTTTACAAAGTTTTGTGTCATCTGCAAACACTGATACATGGCTTTCAATGCCTATTTCAAGATCATTTATAAATATGTTAAATAGAAGTGGTCCCAAAACAGAACCCTGAGGGACACCACTTACCACTTTTGTCCAGCCTGAAAATTTACCATTAATTACAACTCGTTGTACTCTATCCTTAAGCCAATGTTCTACCCAAGAACAGAATATTCATCTAGACCAATTTCTTTTAGTTTGAAGACTAACCTATTGTGAGGAACCGTATCAAATGCCTTGGCAAAATCCAAGTAGATCACATCCACTGCAACACCCTGATCTATACTTCTACTTACTTCTTCATAGAATGCAATTAGGTTAGTTTGACATGACCTATGTTTCATAAAACCATGCTGATTATTGCTAATAACAAAGTTCTTCCCAATGAATTCCTGAATATTATCCCTTAATAGCCCTTCAAATATTTTCCCAGTTACAGAAGTCAAGCTCACAGGTCTATAATTTCCAGGCAAGGATTTTGAACCCTTTTTAAATATAGGAACAACATCTGCCTTCCTCCAATCCTCCGGTACAACACCTGAAACAAAAGAATCTTGAAAAATTAAATACAGAGGTTCACTTATTTCCCCACTTAGCTCCTTAAGTACTCGTGGGTGAATACCGTCAGGCCCCGGAGCTTTATTTACATTAATTTTCTTTAATAGCTGTCTTGCCAGGACAGATGATTGAGTAATATATATATATATATATATATGCTTTTTCTAATATAAAATATTGGTCCTTTCAGGGTAAAACGTTTAATTATACAGTAAGCATACTCACATGCAGACACAGGCAATTTCACTGACATTTCAATGACACACACAAGCTCATTGATACACAGCCTCATAGACAAACAATCTTACTGATATGCATCAGCTCATTGACATAAAAACACAAGCTCACTCACTAGCAGGCACACGCATGCAATCAAGCTCACTCACTAGCAGACGCACACACAGCTTAATGTGGTGGTACTGGTGTCTATAGCATGTCGCTACAGGCTTTTCAACGTAAACACTGACTTTTCAGAGAAAAGGCAGTGTTTACATTGCTTCAAAGTGACACTGCTAGTGACAGTCACTAAGACGGTCACTAGAGGTGCTTCCTGTGTTAGTGCACCTACATTCAGGGCCTCCACACTCTGCAGGTGCTGAACGTTCCCCATAGAGATACATTGATTCAATGCATCTCTATGAGGAGATGCTGATTGGAGTGGCGTTTTGCAGCCAATCCTATGGCAAAGCATTGGATTGGCTGAGATCATCAAGCTTGAAAATCTCAGCTATAGAGGCAGGGCCAGTCGAGGGGACACCAGCACGCAAATTTACACCATGACAGACACAGAAACACACATGCACACACACACACCATGACGAACAGACAGACACACACACCCCATGACGGACAGAGACACACACACACACCCCATGACAGACAGAGACACACACACACACCCCATGACGGACAGACAGACACACACCCCCCATGACGGACAGACAGACACACACACACACCCCATGACGGACAGACACACACACACCCCATGACGGACAGACACACACACCCCATGACGGACAGACAGACACACACACACCCCATGACGGACAGACAGACAGACACCATGACACAGACAGACACACACCGGACAGACAGATAGACACACAAACACCATACAGACAGACACCATGACACAGACAGACACACACCATACATACAGACAGACACACACACACCATACATACAGACACCATGACAGACAGACACACCATACATACAGACAGCCACTATGACACAGACAGACACACACACACCATACAGACAGACACCATAACACAGACAGACTTATCATACAGACAGACACACCATACAGACAGACACCATGACACAGACAGACAGACACACACACACACCATACAGACAGACAGACACATTACTAATACCTGCCAGGGGGAGGTCTTCTGGGAGCCGCTGGGGGACTTGTACTGGTGGGCGCTGGGGAGGTCTTCTGGCGGGCGCTGGGGGAGCTGCGCTGGCTCTGCTCTCCCGCCCTCTCGCGCTGCTGAATGAGACCGGCGCCGGAATATGGCATCATATTCCGACGCCGGTCTCATTCAGCAGTGCGCTGGGGAGCAGAGCCAGCGCAGCTCCCCCAGCGGCCGCCAGAAGCCCGCAGAAGACCTCCCCAGCGGCCGCCAGCAGACCCAGGTGTCTGCCCGGCCCCAGGTGCCGACGGCCCACCGGGAAATTTCCCGGTATCCCGGTGGGCCAATCCGGCCCTGCAGATGACTAATAGGTGACGTATTACCGGGCCTTAGAATGGCCGGACTTAACGTACCAAAGAGTAGTCAGGATTCTTGCTGAGGTCAGGGGATACAGAAAGAGACACAATGATAAGGGAGAGTCAGAAGTCAGGGATACCAGAATACAGGGAAGTCAAAATCAAAGCCAAAGTCAAAAACCAGAAGAAACTTGAATCAGGAATGCGCTCTCGGACTGAGGATGAGAACTGGGCCTAAATACCCCTCCTCTGGGTCTGATAGGCTGTAATTGGCCTTTGACCCCAAAGGCAGTTACTAGGTTCCCATTTGCATAATTGCTGCTCAGCACAAACCCGCCTGTGGATTTGATTGCTGCTCGGCACAACTTTTCCTGTCAGAACAGTAAATGTCATTAATCACATTTTTTTATGCAGATGAATACGTGACAAATCCAGCGCCGGGCTCCCTCGGCACTGGTGACCTCTCCTCCCCCTCCGACGTCGGCTCCCGAGTGGAGCGGAATGCACATGCGAGGCAAGAGCCACGCACGCATTCAAACAGTCCATAGGAAAGCATTTCTCAATGCTTTCTTATGGACGATCTGCACGCTGAATGCGATTTTAGCATCCAGTGTCACAGAAGCGCCTCTAGCAGTTGTCAGGAAGACAGCCACTAGAGGCTGGATTAAACCTGCAATGTAAACATAGCAGTTTCTCTGAAACTGCTATGTTTACATCTAAAGGGTTAAAACCTGGGGGACCTGGCTTCCAGACCACTTCATTGAGCTGAAGTGGTCTGGGTGACTATAGTGTCCCTTTAAAGTTCAAATTACAAAGCAGGAGATAAAAACTTTTAAAGGTGGTTACATTGGAATGAAAATGAAACTATTTTGTTTTCATGCAGGCTGTGTTAATCACAGTCAGGGGAGGTGTAGCTAGGCGTGCATAAACAGAAACAAAAGTGAATGGCAGTGAATTGAGCAGTAAAACTAGAGGCATGATCTATACAGCCAAATTGCTTATTTAAAGGACCACTATAGTGCCAGGAAAACAAACTTGTTTTCCTGGCACTATAGTATTAATAGGTCCCCCCACCCTCATGGCCCCCCTCCCGCCGGGCTCTAGAATGAGGAAGGGGTTAAAGGCTTACCTTTCTCCAGCCCCGGGCTCCCTCGGCGCTGGGGACTCTCCTCCCTCTTCCGCTGAATGTGCATGAAACTGCTATGTCTACAGCAGGCAGGGTTAACCCTAGATGGACCTGGCACCCAGACCACTTCTGGGTGCCTATAGTGGTCCTTTAAGCTAAAGTTCTTAGCTTAAAGAACCACTGTAGGCACCCCCTTTAAGAACTAAGAGTATGCAGACTTTAGATCAGGGGTCATTTTTTTTTTCTTTATTGCCATGTTTTGTTTTATGATTGCTCTTATAAAAGAATAACTTACAGTTGAATATGAATCCCATAAGAAATAAAAGAAATGTGTTTTGCCTGCTCACTCATGTTTTCTTTAAAAATGGATATGCAAACTTTTGAGCACAACTGTAAATGCAATCAGCCTTAAAGAGTATATACCAATACCCTCTTTAACCCCTTAAGGACACATGATGGAAATATTCCGTCATGATTCCCTTTTATTCCAGAAGTTGTGTCCTTAAGGGGTTAATGGTATTATGTTATTGTTATGTTATTATGCACTGCGTGCACAGTACATACCAATAACCACAAACTTCAGGAACTCCACTTCTTATAGCAGAGACTTAGGGCAGTGTTAAAATCCAGCAAGGCTTTAATAACACACATAACATGCAGAAGATAGGCTTTTCACCTTTTATTAAGGCTTCCTCATACTGCTCAAGGAGTAAAAGGTGGATAATTCAAAAAGGATACAGATGGATGAGAGTTTCAAGTGTTGTGTTTGAGTGAGGAAGTTATGGAAAGAGAAGGAGCTCTGTTTCAGTAAAGTTGGCAGGCCAGAAACCAGAATGAATGGCTGGGAGAATAGAATGTGAGGGGATGGAAGTGGATAGCCGAGAATATTTCAAGCATGATAGAAATCATACATTGTTGATACCACAGATTCATTGTGAGTTCAAAGTATAAAGCAAATAAAAAAAACCACAGGACATCTTTCAAATGTAGTCTAAAAATCTTTGTTGCGTCTGATTTAAAATTCACACTCTCTGACTTCTCACTTCGTAGAATAACCTTCTAAAGGTTTTGCTCATAAATATGCTATGTCATTATACTTACAGAGTTATTCATTTAAGTGTGTTGCTGGAAAATCTATGTGAATATCAAAATTTTTATTTTGTAATTTAATTTTTATTGAGGCATAAAGTAAAATACATTCTGATAAAAGCAGGTACACATCAAACATTACAGACAGGATAGAGAAAGATTAATATTGCCTCGTTCTTGTTTTATTATATAATCTCTCTAGTAAAGTATCTAAGAAATAAGCATACTCGGGGGTATGTGTCAGCCAATGCCTCAAGTTAATTGTTGCGCTGATACAATAAAGTACGATGTTCTCATAGATCCATCAATGTTCGGCATCCATATCAGTCTTGGGACCTTACCAACACATGCATTCGGCATTGCAGAAAAGGAACCTTTAGACGGAGTGAGCCAGGCGTGGGGATTTATTCCTCTCTGAATCGCTGCATAGGTAAGAGGTAGCGAGGTTGAAAACTGGACAATCGGTGTAAAGATTGTCAAAGAAAAAAACAAACTGTACAGTCAGCGAAAATGTGCCAGGCTATACTTCTGCTCGCATCTCATCTCCTTCTCTACTGAACAGGGGATCCTCTGTAGAAACTTTGCACAGGCTGCAAGGAAGTCTAGTACTGGCTGTGCCCAACAGGTTCAATAAGTCGCAGTCTGAGCACTCAGCAGGGTATTACTTTAAGAGGTATAGCAGGGTTTCTGATTAAAAAATTATGATTTTGTTGGTTCAAAGGCTAAAGTTATAGGCTTTCTCTGCGGAGCTCCAGCCATGCGTGAATGTACCAATTGGCTGTGTGGCACAGCCCCTTCTGAATATCAAACTTGATGCCACGCTAAATAAACAGGAAAAAATCCAATAGGGTCACTTATTAAATTTGGAATTTAAAGTAAACCCAAAATTATAACCAAAAAAGCTGAACTGGAAAAAGTCAGCGCTTCTTCTACTTCAACAATTTTGGTCCGAAAACTCAATATTCACTTTGAATTCCTTCCTCGGCAAACAGCCCTGCAGGTCAGTAATGCTTCCAATGTGCCTACTTTGGCCTAAAATGTTAAATTCAAATAAACCTGTTAAATTTTCCCACAATAATAGCCACATTGCACTACTCTGTGTGCATTCACTATAAGTTGATTGTGACAGATCACGTTGCACTGTTACACTGTGCCATCAGGCTATGCAGCTGCAGTGGACACGAATGCCACCCGCTGGCACCCAGCCATTATAATTAAATATATATACAGGGAGTGCAGAATTATTAGGCAAGTTGTATTTTTGAGGATTAATTTTATTATTGAACAACAACCATGTTCTCAATGAACCCAAAAAACTCATTAATATCAAAGCTGAATATTTTTGGAAGTAGTTTTTAGTTTGTTTTTAGTTATAGCTATGTTAGGGGGATATCTGTGTGTGCAGGTGACTATTACTGTGCATAATTATTAGGCAACTTAACAAAAAACAAATATATACCCATTTCAATTATTTATTATTACCAGTGAAACCAATATAACATCTCAACATTCACAAATATACATTTCTGACATTCAAAAACAAAACAAAAACAAATCAGTGACCAATATAGCCACCTTTCTTTGCAAGGACACTCAAAAACCTGCCATCCATGGATTCTGTCAGTGTTTTGATCTGTTCACCATCAACATTGCGTGCAGCAGCAACCACAGCCTCCCAGACACTGTTCAGAGAGGTGTACTGTTTACCCTCCTTGTAAATCTCACATTTGATGATGGACCACGGGTTCTCAATGGGGTTCAGATCAGGTGAACAAGGAGGCCATGTCATTAGATTTTCTTCTTTTATACCCTTTCTTGCCAGCCACGCTGTGGAGTACTTGGACGCGTGTGATGGAGCACTGTCCTGCATGAAAATCATGTTTTTCTTGAAGGATGCAGACTTCTTCCTGTACCACTGCTTGAAGGTGTCTTCCAGGAACTGGCAGTAGGACTGGGAGTTGAGCTTGACTCCATCCTCAACCCGAAAAGGCCCCACAAGCTCATCTTTGATACCAGCCCAAACCAGTACTCCACCTCCACCTTGCTGGCGTCTGAGTCGGACTGGAGCTCTCTGCCCTTTACCAATCCAGCCACGGGCCATCCATCTGGCCCATCAAGACTCACTCTCATTTCATCAGTCCATAAAACCTTAGAAAAATCAGTCTTGAGATATTTCTTGGCCCAGTCTTGGCGTTTCAGCTTGTGTGTCTTGTTCAGTGGTGGTCGTCTTTCAGCCTTTCTTACCTTGGCCATGTCTCTGAGTATTGCACACCTTGTGCTTTTGGGCACTCCAGTGATGCTGCAGCTCTGAAATATGGCCAAACTGGTGGCAAGTGGCATCGTGGCAGCTGCACGCTTGACTTTTCTCAGTTCATGGACAGTTATTTTGCGCCTTGGTTTTTCCACACGCTTCTTGCGACCCTGTTGACTATTTTGAATGAAACGCTTGATTGTTCGATGATCACGCTTCAGAAGCTTTGCAATTTTAAGGGTGCTGCATCCCTCTGCAAGATATCTCACTATTTTTGACTTTTCTGAGCCTGTCAAGTCCTTTTTTTGACCCATTTTGCCAAAGGAAAGGAAGTTGCCTAATAATTATGCACACCTGATATAGGGTGTTGATGTCATTAGACCACACCCCTTCTCATTACAGAGATGCACATCACCTAATATGCTTAATTGGTAGTAGGCTTCGAGCCTATACAGCTTGGAGTAAGACAACATGCATAAAGAGGATGATGTGGTCAAAATACTAATTTGCCTAATAATTCTGCACTCCCTGTATATACTACTATATCTCACAAACAGAATTTTCTGTACATTTGTAGAGCTTAATGCACATGTACTGTATGTATGTGTCAAGGTGCCTACCAAGCAGGCTCCACTGTGGTGCGTTACAGCGCAGTCCATTGGCTTGCCACCAGTGCCGTGCTCACTCACCTCTATGATGACCTCCTCCAGCACCCGTTCAACGCATCAGTTTTGTCTGGCTCAATCTTCTCCTCCCCTATTTTCGGTCAAGAACATTGTTCTGTACTATTCTATCTATTAACGTTAAATCCGGCCATTCTAAGGTCCAGGAATCCATTTTAGTATTTCTTGTTCTAATTTATTTTGTTTACTTAAATTCTGCATTTTGGGTATTGGTTAATTCTGACAGTATGATCATTACAGACAAAAACCTGGTTATTGCGCAAACCAAGCAAATGCCACTGGGTTGACCATTATGTTGCAATTCATTTGCTTTGATAGATGGTGCTGGGCTCCTTCTAATAACTGTTATAATTACATTATGCAACTGTCAGGCTGTGGCCTTAGATACTCCAATACCTTTCTTATTACCGTAAGACAAGGCTACAGGGCTTTGGAAGAGAGAGCAAGGAATTAATGGACGATATTTCAGACGGTTAAAGTCTGTGTCATTATTTTGATTGTATTTCTTAAAGTATTCTAAAAAAATATCCATTTCAGAAGACCACCAAATTTACGGTGACATGACAAAGACATGAAACAGAACCCTTCTGGCTGACAAAGCTGAGGAAAAATACAAAACTGTACACCATTTCCCATGTAATATCTCTGTCAGCTATCCTTCTATGTCCTCCACCCTCCTTGCTAAAACTCATTTTCGAGGTACACTGGAGGAGGAGATAATTTTGAAAGCATGCAATAGACTGTGGATATAGTGTGCTCTGGGTTGTCTCCTGGTCAATGTTTAGGGGCAGTCTGATGAATTAGCAGCTGGCCCAGCCCATATCTTCATCCCTAACCATTGGCCTTTGACATTTACCACAAGGTTTAGATCTTTAGACCATATGGCAGTAAGGCCAGCTCAGTGGAGCCTCATCCAACACCCAACCTTAACCTTAGAGATGACTGCAAATTTGCAAAATTGAGTTAATTTTATGAAACCCTTCATGCGTGATGTGGCTGCATCCTGTGTTTGTCTCAGTCTGCCTAAATCACAGTATATCTGTCATTCTGCCTTAGTATGCATCAGATAAACCATGTCTGGCTTAGCATGTGTGTGTCATTCAGTCTTGACCCGTGTGCCCTGTGTGCATTCACATCACCAGCTGATTATTGTTATTATTTTGTGTGTGTGTGTTAGCAGTTTAGTAAGATGCAAGCATCCTATGGCTGCATTATATACTGCTGAACAGGTTGCAAGAGATGTAGTAGTTTCACAGTCACTGATGGCCCTTGGCCTGGAATGCCAGAGCTGTATGAAACCAGTGCTGTCGGTGTCTATTACATTATAGCATATTTTGTGTCCTTTCCTTCATGTCATGGAGGTAGCTTTGAGCTTACATCTGACTTATCCCATCAACAAACAAATCATCTGGTAATGGGATGTGAATATGAGCATGTGATTTGGGTGCCAGGATACATGCTCCTTTACTTTCCCATGTGTTGTCTAATTATTTACTTTTGTGTATGTGATGGTGTTGAAAGCAGCACTGTCACCCCCACTCCCTGAAAAATTTGAATTTAATAAAGATAGAATCTTTATGAAATACTAATTTTGACAGAGAGAGAGAGAGAGAGAGTGTGTTTTTACATCTCAGCATTCAACTATTAACACTACGCACAAGTACACCACTGCTTTCAAATGGCAATAGTACTTGAAAAACATACAACAATGTTGAATTGTTGAGGCTATAGCATAGAATTGCAGTATTTAGGTGAAAACAAATGTAAAAATGCTTGATTTTGGAGAATTTTAAGATTTGGCTACTCCATCATGAGGCATACCATTCTTTTGTGATTTCTGCATAATTTATGCAACCTTTTCCCCAGTTACAGGAATGAAAAAAAAATCCCCTTGGGGATTCCCTACTAGCTACAGGTACTTTCCCATTTGGAATGGTACAAATCCTACAGTGTTACTGCTTCATGTTGGGTTTTTTATAATGTGTGTTTTTAACTTGATGTCTTATTGGGCACTATTAACCCTTGGCTTGTCAAGAAAACAAAAAATGAGTTTGTGATAAAACTTACCTTGAATCAGCACTGGGCTGGGTTCTCCTTGATTGTTTCCACACCCCTTCCAACATCAATCCAAGATCCAATCCATTTGATTGGACTGTTCTCCCAGATTCAGACGGTATGCTCATGCTCTGAGTTGGGGAAGGAATGGGTGGGGTGGTCAAGAAATTATTAGGAGGTGCAGAACCAAGTTCGAGTTGCCTTAGTCATGTGTGTCTGATTTAAAAGTGCATATTCCTCTATGTGTGCAGCCTTTCAAGCAGAAATGCTGCCCAAGTGCCCATGTAGATTCCCACCACCGAGACCTCTTCTAAAAGCAGGAGTTGTCATGGTGGTTGGAGTAACCCTTTAAATATTCTTATCAAAAGTGCACCAAAGCATTTAGGGATTTCCTCATACTATTGTCATAGAGTATAAAAGTTGGATTGTTCGTAATCTAAAGAAAAAACGTTATAGAAAAGTCCCAACATACTTCTACCTTATCAAATGCCCCACTTTAATGCGGATAGTGTGCACATATAACCCGTTAAAGGTGGTCATAGAATTTTAATTTATTTTACAATGCTATATTAAAATCACCTACTTCTAATTTAGTACGCTTGTCATTTTCCATCCCTGAGCACAGCTATTTCATTCTTTATAAGCCTTGATTTAATATTTTTGGATATACGGTACATTTCTAAAATAATTTTTGTAGGTAGGCTTGACGTTAGATTGTGTTCTGGCAGGATTTAGGCTCAGCCCTTGGGGTGACGCGCTGGACTCTGTGGGTCGGCCGCTTGGGTCTTGGGCCTCGCCATGTGTTTGCAAAGGATTGGCATCCGCCATTTTGGTGCGACGGGTCCGAGGTGGTGTAGCCTGGATAGTGGGGTGAGTGCGGGTAACGTCTCTGAGTTGCCCTGTGGGGACCAGGATAACCCCCGCCGGTCTATAGGGGAGGGGTAGGAGTGACACAAGACCAGATCCCGGCCCGAAACACAACGGGACCAGCCGCTTTCCCTCAGCCCCATATCAGGTAGGCCGCAGCAAGGATCCTGGGTTTTCCTTGTTAGAGACGCTCGGGTGAGGTGTCTGTCGGCGTGCCCGGGCTCCCCTGACCTTTAATACATGTTTCGGTTAGTCTGGCAGCCGTGTCCGTCAGGTTATTTTGCTTTGTCAGCCAATTTGTCAGGAGCTCCGGCATACCAATTCTGGCTCACTCGGAGGTCAGGCTCCTCCTCTCTGTTCAAATATTTTAACTAACCTTTTATTTGTTTCATTGCATTGTTCAACAAAATGTATAAAAAAAGACACATGGTGAAGCATATAAATATAAAATAATATATTTCAGGTTTTTGAAGTCATTTGTGTAAGATTATATTCTTTACCAGTTATGTGTTAAATTTTTTATATATGTGTAATTTAATATTATTTTGGAATTCTAATATTCCCTTCCTGGTAAAATATTTTATAAATAAATAAATTATATATAACTTGAACTTCGATCTAGTTATTTATGATGTCTCCAGAACCATTTTCAATGGGATTATTGAGCATATATACTGCTCCTTTTCTATCTATTCTATATATATACATATTGAGAGATGAATTGGGCTCTCCAGCCTAGGCACAGTGCACTGCATGGTATGTGTCTGTCACCATGGAAACTACAGGACTGCTCTGATAGGAAATGTGCTGCCTCCTATCACCCAGTGTGAAGTGGCATGCAGCAGCTTGGGGGTTAAACCTCCTTAATAACAGTGTACCTGAATCTGTGTACCAGTGTCTGTCAACTGATAAACATACAAGCACAGTGATACCAACATGCATAGATAAGCCCACGCATTCACTGTTCTTGTGTTTGTTTCTAAGTGTATCCATGTTGCAGTGAATCAAATCTCAACAAATGTAAAGTATCTCCTTGATTAGAGGGACTCCAATAATAATAAACTTTAACCCAAACATTTATTTTATTGCTGTGGGATCAGAACATGCAGGGCCCATTTTTTATTTATTCTGACTAAGCCAATTAATTGTGCAATGCTGTTGGCATACAATAAAACATTACATAAACTATTAAGTAACACACACATAGATATACTATACAGTGTACAAATATACTGGTTACCTAGAAACTCACCTACTTCATAAATTAATATTAATACAGCTCCTTTATTCTATAGCACATAGTTTAATGTGTTTTTAACATTTCATTCCAACACTCACTTTTACCTGTTTTATATGTGAAGTACACAATGCACTGTGTAAATATAAAGCAGGGTGCCCAAAAGGTAGATCCCAAGTTTTAGAACTACAACTCTCACAATGCTTTGCATGCCTTTAGAATGCTTCAAAATGACAAACCAGTATGAGGATCTACCGTTTGGGCACCCCTGATATAAAGACTGCTTGCATATTGTGTTCTGTATGTCATATTCCTCCACCCCACTGTACTGTCTCCACAGGATACTTCAGTAGTATATCTACCATATTGTTTCCTGGCATCCATATAATGGCATTCAACTTCTGCACCCCCTTTCCCATCTATATCATGCCTTCTGTCACCCACTCCATGCCCTCCTTCCCAGATTTTCATCTCCCATCCCATCCAGACAAAGTAAACTTAGGTTCCTGCCACACAGATGCCTGCATGTGCTAGTGGCACTGGTAACCAGAAGTAGGTGGGGATAGGTAACCATTCATATCCCCCCTTTTAAAAAATAATTTTTAGTTTTTCATAGCCTGGGGGAAGAGAATATCAAACATTTTGTGTATTATTGTGTACATATAGTTATCACTTATTTTATTTTTTTAATTTCTATTATTTAAGAAATAAAGTATTTTTTAAAATAAAAATTTAATTTGTTTGAAAAGTAAAATGCACACTCTGTGTGATTTAGATATAAATAATATATTAATCTTTTACAAAACATGGTGCACATTAAATGAAAATGTGATAATAGGATAATGCTAGCAACAGGGGCGTACCTGGAGCATTTGGCACCTGGGGCTAATCGTATATTCAGCAACCCTCCCCCTTGCCCCCCCACAATATTAAAATGTAACAAAGACCTACAATTATTATTATTATTTTTAAATGTATTTAGCAGTGTTTGCATTTTTTAGGTATTTAGCACTGAGCAGTGTTTGTGTGTTTAAATGTGAGCATGTTTTTGTATGAAGTATGTGTGAGTGAATGTAGGGATGTGTTTGCATGTAGTGTTGGCATCTGAATGCAGGCATTCATTTTTTTGTGTAGTTTTTTTTTTTAAATATGGTGTGTTTTTATGTAGTGTTGATACTTGGATGCAGGTGAGTATTTGTGTAGTGTTGGCGAAATGCTGAGATGTATGCACATATACACATACTCAAATATACACACACTGGCACACATGCAGATACATAGACACACTGGCACATATAGAAACACAGTAATGCACAGATACAAACAAACACTGACACACAGATACAAACAAACACTTACAGAGACACATCTGCACAGATACAGATACACACATACAGATATGCTAAAACACAGACACATATACAAACACACAGTTATAAGTGTGTGTTTATTGTATGCAGTGTTTGTGTCAGTGGCGGATCCTGAAGCTAATCTCGGGAGCGGCACTGGCAGATCATTTAAAGAAACAATCCAGGCACAATAACCACTACAGCTCTCTGTAGTGGTTTTGGTGCCAGGAGTGCCGTGGCGCCCTCCCAGAGTAAGTAGTCAAACCATTTAAAAAAACTTTGATAGCTTACCCGGGTTGTGCCGGGATAGGGCCAGTAGTGTGTATGTGTGTGAGGGTTGCAGTATGTGTATGGAGGGGCAGTGTGTGTGCATTTGGGGGGCAGTGCGTGTGTGAGAGGGGTGCAGTGTATGTATGGGGTAGCAGTGTGTATATTGGGAGCAGTGTGTTTGTGTGGGAGTGGCGCAGTGTGTATATTGGGGGCAGTGTGTGTATGGGGTGCAGTGTTATTTATATATCCTGAAACAGGCAGTGTGTGTAATGGGAGGCAGTGTGTGTAAGCGGGGGGGCTGTGTGTGTAAGGGGGGCTGTGTGTTTGTTTGTGGTGCAGTGTGTTGAGGTTTGGGGGGGAGATTAAAGATATTTTTTAAAATTATTAAATAATTGCTAAAAATATAGTTAATGTCCCCCCTCCCTTCTTACCTTTGTTGAGGGAGAGGGAGACATTGCTTTCTTTCCTTCCTTGG